CCCGAAGGCAGCTGGGATAGGCTCCACTCCAGCACGCCTATTGTGCTTGAGAGGATAAGCGGATTAGAAAATGGATGGATGGATGGATGGATGGATAGATGGATGGATGGATGGATGGATGGAAACTTCCAACTGTGAGTGAAAAATAGTTTGGTGACTTTTTTTTTAACAGTTCACTATTTGCCAACTGCAGCTTGTTGTGGAGTGAGTTGTGTTCACTGCCACCATACACAGCTCATATCTCAAATTTTTGCACACAAGATAAAGTCAATTACATTCTCCGAATGACGGTTCTGGCTCCAAAAAATAGATAAAATAAACCCCATAAGTAGGTTTATTTGTATCTCAAGGGATCACTGTACATCCAATTCAACAATTGTATACATTTGCATTCATAAAGATATGGGTTTTATAAACTGATATTGTCAGAGATATATTAAATGTATCACATGCATAGCTTAACACAGGCTCAAATTAGGGATGGGCAATAATTGAATATCAATGTGATCCATGACAGACAGGCGGAATAGTGATCTTGTAGTTAGCACGTCCACCTCACAATACAGAGGTCCAGGGTTCGATTCCAGCCTAGGCCTTCCTGTGTGGAGTTTGCAGGTCCTCCTGTGCCTGTGTGGGTTTTCTCCAGGTACTCCAGTTTCCTCCCACATTCCCAAAATATGCATGGGAGGTTAATTAAACACTCTAAATCGTCCCTAAGTGTGGTTGTGAATGGTTGTTTGTCGATGTGTGATTGGCTGGCAACCACTTCAGGGTTTAGCCCGCTTACTGCCCGATAACAACTGTGACAGGCTCCGGCATGCCTGCAACCCTCGTGATAAGAACTCAGATAATGGATGGATCATGATAGACACATGATCAATATCAATAGAAATTGCACTCAATATAATACTGACTGTAAAAAAATAAATTAAAATATTAGGAGGCAAACCTTGATCCCATCAATGCTGCACGCCATAGGCAGAAGCTCCAGTCTGATGTTAGATTTGTGCCACAATTACCGTGACTTCAGAGGAAATTTGGAGCACACAAGCATGCTTGACTCCCAGATATTTTGAATTGTATTTTTCCTCTCATAGCTGTGTTTTATTTAGCTGATATCTTGAATTAATTGTATCTTTAATTGGTTTGTTTACATATTTTAAATAGGTATACACACACACACACACATACATATATATATATATATTTAGATTGTGACACACTTTTCTACCATATCGCCCAGCCCTAGCTCAAAAATTGTATCTTTTTTCCCCCAATTGTAATTGTTTTCTTATCGTCAATGTCATTCTAAACGCAATTTGATTTGACCTGATCTGATTGAAGACATTAATCGTCAACAACTGGCGCACAGGCAGTGTGAAAACACTGCAAAACTTGCACTAAAACATGATGAGAGCTGTTTCTAATGTTTGACTAATCAGCTGAGAGGAGCAAATTCCTCAACGTTTGATGTGGTCCAGCAAACATCCATTATCCGAACAGCGTATCCTGTCAAATAAATACCTCAACCAATCAAAACAATTAAACATTATTGTTGAAAGAACAGAATTTGCCACCTAAAAGTACTGCCCTGGATCTTATTGGGCTGTGGAGGAGAGTTCAAACATTGGACAAATGTTATCCTCCACTACAACACAAAGGGTTTTTGTTCGAAGCACGTCTTCTCGATGAAGCCCAGGGGCTGCCTGACAGTTGTCTTCCCGTGAGCTATCGCATACAAATGTAAAGGAGCATCTGGCAGGCTCACGCTACTTACCGTTTCCGGGGTGGCGGTGAGCTCCGTGGCGCTGCGTCCCTGCGGCCAGGTATGTGCCTGGTTGTTGCGGCTGGCTCTCCGGGTAGCCGCCGCGGCCGCCGTGGTGCGACGCCCAGCCGGCGTTGCTCTGCTGAGGGAAGTTCATCCCTCCTCCTCCTCCTACGCCAGCGCTCATCATGCTTCCGTTACCGAGCACATTGCCGCCGCTATTACCTCCTGCGGGATTGCTCACGGCAAAATGATAGAAGCCGGACCGGGACCGAGAGCGTGTCCTGGGGGGGTCCATGGTTGGCTGCAGCGGACGCGGAGAGCGGCGGTGGTGGTGGTGGAAAAGTCGGCTCGAGACTCAAAAGAGAGGAACCTCCTTCGTCGGACAGCTTCCCAGTCTCGCTTTAAGCGAGTTAGCTCGGAAGACGTTCTTAATCCGATAGTGCTATCTAATGCATTTGAAATGTGTGCTTTTGACAAGACAGTTGACACTTTTACAACCAAAAAGTGATAATCCCCCCACCCCCCCCCAAAAAAATCTAATTAAAACACGATCTTTCTTTTTTAATGCCTGCAGACAATTTCTTCCCAACAAGCATCTTTTCATTAAGAATGGTTGAAATCTAAATTTTTTTTCAAGTCATCAGACGTGCCCACAGCTAGAAATAAATGCCGCGGCAATAAAATGTGTAATGAAATCGCAAAACTAATGTGATTTCAATGGTCCGAGCTCCCTCGGACAAGACCATTGGACAGGGTTCATGTTTTGTTCTCTCATCCTGCGTTAAAGAGGTTGTTCATCACATTGAGAGCTGCTTCATAAGATGTCCGCCGTACGTAAGCGGCAGCATCTGCACTGGAGGTCAGCTTTTAACGGCTCGGTCCGAATATAAAAAGCGTCCTCCCCCTGGGTGGAAGTGGTTCTCATTCAAGGCAGCAATTTGCCCTGTTTGTCATTAGAGCCATTAGAGATAATAGAATGGCGAAAAATGGGCACATTGCGGCTGGGAGAACAATGGCGTCGACGTCCTGTTTTTGTATCAAATGAGTCCCCGTGTCATGCATTTTCATGATTCTCACATCAAAGCAGAATTCAGGTTGGCTGATGCGTTTT